CAGGAACCTGCTTATTGCTGTTTTATTGCAAAGACAGAAGGCACACATAAGCAAAATTTCTGACTCCTGCAGAACACAGAAGTACCCTCTCTTTATGTATTTACTCTGTGTATTAAATTCTATACCTTTTCCTCCAGTTTTTTTGAGTCAATGAAAATTTGGCCATACTTCTTCTAGGCTTGAGATTGGAAGACATCTGCTCAATGTTTACATAACCCTTCTGTCTAACCTAAGAAACACTGATTTCTACCTATTTAGCTTCAGCCCATACAGGAGTATTAAGTACTTTGCTTAAAATTTTGGAGAAAAGGCAGAATTGAATATTAGTAAATAAATAAACTAGGCCCAGCCTTGGTGGTGCTACCTCCTGGCAAGAATATTAAAACTGTTATGAACCACATAAAAGCATTATAAATCACAGCTAAACCTTTCAGCCTTTGCTGATATGTAACAAGAACTTGAGAGACAGGACTTGATAGTATCAGGTGCTCCCAGTTCTGAAACTAGTTTTGGGGTTGGTGAGGAAGTCAGCTTGGCTTCCTAATCCATAACTAAGTAACGGGATGAGTTTATTATGAACTAACCACTTCCCAAAATAATAAATCCCTATATGCAAAGAATTTAGCACTAAGAGCAAGCATGAACAGAACTAAGCAAGATTTAATATGTAATGATGGTATAAACATAATGGTATTTCAAAATGTATACGAATCATTTTAAAGGGCATCATTTCTTCTTAATATGCAGTCTATTATGACAGAATCATAACTGTCAAATGAAAACCCTGTAGCTGCCAGCAGTAAGATTATCTGCTGACCCTAGCACATTGCAGGGGAAATTATTAGTGCTCCTTGTCTGGCAGGCTGTCTTACAATTCCACTTGAAGCTACCTCAGAGTATATAAACCACCCACAGGTAATCCCCAGTTTAAGAATGAGTTCCATTCCCAAGGTCTGTCCTTAAGTCAAATTTGTATGTAAGCCAGAACAGTATTAATGTAAATTTGGATAAGTAGTATTGTGTAATGAACTCAAATCACTGTATATTTTACTCAAATTGCGTATTTAACTTGAATTTCTATTTATTTATTTGTTTGTTTATTTATTTATTAAATTTTTCAACCACCCATCTC